ATTTGAAAACTCTTGAAGGAACCAAATGTCACTGGCTGCTGTTTAATAAATGCCTCTGGTTGGTCTGACTCCAAGTCCACCAACCTTAGCAACAATCAGAGACACTGCAGCCTTAATTGGGGAGATATTACTTTTGTGTGGGCGCTGGAATGCAGACAATACCTGATGTCTGGAAAGGGAAAATAAACAGAGGTAAATGACCAAGCTTATTTTGGCAGGATGTGCAAAAACACAAACTACATGCCTGGCCAATCTGATAGGCTTAGGAGAAGTCCTACAAGTTTATACAGTGACCAAAAGGGAAATAGGAACTGACATGTAGGAAACTAGAGAGGAAAGAAAGATGGGGTGGGAAAGGTGGCAAAACATATACACTCAGCAGTGCAGAAACAGGGCTTCAATGTCTTCTTATGGAACCTTGACTTGAACTACCCACAGGTCAAAAAGCTCCAGTCAGACAGCAAATTCTTTGCTGGGGATACACTGTATTTGGTTTCAGTCCTATCCTATTAGAATAAGCCACAAACCATTCACAAGATTTGTAGTCATACTCTCTTTTTTAAACTACAACTGTATTAAAAGACAAAGAAGTGAACATGAGACTCAGGGAGGAAATCTAAAAGTTCATAAGTTCAATCCATTCATTCAACAAATGAGAAAATCAAAGCTTAGAGAGAAGGTCATTGATTATCCCACACCCACTTTACTAACTGGAGCAGAACTAGGCAGAGAACCTGGGAATCTTGGTTTTCAGTTTAGAGTACATTCCCTTCCATGTAGCTTCCACTCGTAATCGACCAACTGGTCTCCTCACCTCCCCGTTCCACTCCTCCTTTCTTCTCTTCTCCCTACCTATCATTTATTAAAATGGAGATTTCAGAGCTTTGTCCAGGAAGCCCCACTTACTAATTCTGCGAAGTTGCTTACTGTCTCATACACTGTCATCTCCAACCAGTGAAATTTCACCCAAATGGAATATATGCAGATAACTTGCATTTTGTGATCCTCTACTGTCCTTAATCCCACACCTTATAGTAAGGAAAAGTTATCCTACAATGGTATGACATTTTCCATATGTGTATGTGCTATTCTGGTTTCCCTATTTTCCTCTGCACTGACATAAAACTAATGCCACAATACAGCAACACATAATATTCATAGGATACTTCCTTAAGTCACAGTTTCAGGAAATTTAGTGCTTAAGCCTGCTCCTCTCCCAGGTATTTCCGGAATTCTTCAAACAATACATAGATGATGATTTAGGGATCTGACAATTTCCACTCTCCCTCGCTGATCCAGTGCTGGAAAAGTTATCACTCAGCCACTCTAAAGCCATCTCAAAGCCTCTATCTTCTGTTGCTGATCTGTACAGAGACTTCTTAGGCCACTGAATTGAACCTGTGGAGGCCACCCCACTGCTAAAGCCAACACACACTCCCCACCTTCACCTATCTCTGCCCTGTATTCTAATATGGAAGATCCCAAGAAGTGCTCCCTTTTTCCCTCATGTTCTTCCACAGAAAATGCTTTGTTGAAACAGCTCTTTCAGTTTTTCACTCACAGAGTGACAAAAGGTCTAGAGACAGACACCATGCTGCCACTGGAATCTCCCAGTCTATTTCACTGTGATGTATTGGGGTTGGATTAAAGTTCTCTGCTTCTAATTTTTCTTTCCTTAGGATGATTTATCTGCTAGAAGGATTTTTTATTCTCTCACACAACTTAGGTTCCTGGCAGACATATCCCACAGGTCCTCAAGATATGATGGAATCCAAAGCACACAAAGATGCACAAGGGCAAGGGATAAAGGAACCAGGGAAGGCTGAAATGCGGCCACTCTCCAGTCACCAAACTGTGCAGCCATGGCCGTGACCGCCTAAGACAGCATCTCTTTTCTAATTTACAAATAAGCACTGGCCCCACCTGAATTCTTAGATGTATGCTGCAAATGGAAACTCCTGCTATACGGAGAGCAGGGACCACAGCTTATATTTATTTTCTATATACCTCAGCATATGGCCCAGTAGTTGGCATCAAAGCCACATTACAAGTATTTGCTAGATGAAATCTATGAAGGGGCCAATTATTCAGACCTATGCAAAATTCCTGCCCTTGGCAGGCTTAAAAGGTAATATAAAGGCCAGGAAAATAAAAGATTTTCTAAAGTGCAAAAATGTTGGCTTTCTCTCAAGCTCTAGAATCAAACTCAATTAAACCCCATGACATTTCTTTTCTGTTCATATACTGAATGCTTGACACAGCAGGGAGCTCAGAACCACATCCTGGTATCATTTATCAGACTACCTTACTATTCTAGTCACTCAATGTTCCTGGACCAACACTATATAATGTCATCTTCTGTCTTTCTCAAAATATAATAATTTCACAAGATATGGTATATTTTATAGAATGCGATGCATCGTTTTAGTGTCATTACCATTGTTACCATGAAAAGACTGAGTTATGAAGAGTTCTAATGTTCAATGACTTCCCTTAGAGGAAGGCAGGATTTCAGAATACCAAGTTACCCAGCCTCAGTTTCCATTCTTCCCCTAGGTCTGTGGAGCTAGATTGGCTAACTGGTGAGGAGCGTCAGAATGTTATCTCCAGCTGTTCGGTTCTAAACAGTATTTTACTGTGTGTAGTCAGCAAACCTTCAACTTTTGTCATCTTGCTTTTTTCAAGTCCATACTTCACTTCCAAAAAAGCATTTCAGTTGATCATTAAAGTTCACCAATTCAGCACTTACCCTGACTTTTCACAAAACTCTTGGAACCCACATGCAAAGATTCATCTCTGCCTCACAAACAGTCAGACAATCCAGAGAAGAAGCTGAAGCGGTTCCCGCCCTTCACACTTGCCACACCCCATCAACCAACAATAAATCCCCTCCTCACATGAAAGTCCCTCTCCCCACTCACCCCAGAGTAAATCCCCAGCTGGCAGGAAGCCAGGTTGAGCAGACACGTCTGCCACAGCTTCCTGGGGTGGGGTCAGGCTGCACCAGCTTTGATCAACCAAAGAAGGAATTTCCAGTGTCAAGAGCCCTCCACAGAGAATGCCCCAGGGTCTACTCTAAGGGGTAAAGGAACCAGGGATTAAAAAGCAACTTGGAGCATCCCAAATAGACAGAGCAGCACAGATGACCTGTGAACGAGACGACCGAGGTGATGTCTTGGTCATTCTCCTTATTTCATGGACAGAAGTGAAAATACAAGTGAGCTCACCTTTCATGGCCAGAAACTCTTTCCAAGGAAAGGAAACACCATAGTGATATTGAGTTTAGTTCTCCCTATTACTTAGTCATTCTTGCTAATAAACTAGGTCATGCTGGAAAGAATATTAACCCTTATACATCTCAAAGAGGTGTTAGAGTAACATTTATTAGTATTTACACTTGACCAGACATGAAATAGCTCCATGAATCCGTATGCTGGCTCGCAGAAGGGACCGTCACTGTTTTTCTCTAGAGTCATTTATCTCCAGATAAGCCATTGAAATTGGGCATATCTGAGCTCCTTGCTTGGAACTCTCGTTGCAAAGCTTCAGAACCTTAAGAAGTATCACTACATTACTCACTGAAGCTGAAGGAAACTTCATAGTGAAGTAAAATAAAAACATTTCGCCGGCTGGGCGCAGTGACTCACGCCTGTAATCCCAGCACTTGTGGGAGGCCGAGGGAGGCAGATCACGAGGTCAGGAGATCGAGACCATCCTGGCTAACATGGTGAAACCCCATCTCTACTAAAAATACAAAAAATTAGCCGGGTGTGGTGGCAGGCACCTGTAGTCCCAGCTACTCAGCCACTGCGCTCCAGCCTGGGTGACAGAGCGAGACTCCATCTCAAAAAAAAAAAAAAAAAATTTTTGCCCAGACAGCCAAGTTTTGCTATACCCTACCACTCTAGAAATCTATCCAACAGTGAACATTGTGATTTATTCCTAGTAGAAACCCACACGGTATTTTGTTCTGGAAATGTTGTTAATCATAGTAAGTATTATAACAAAAAATACCAAACAAAACTCAATGATCCATGTCTATTACTTGTACACTTCACAGTCCTGTCCAGGTTAGTAGGAATGGAGTGGAGGGAATGAGGGAACCCTACCCCAGGCAAGAACCAGGTTCTTTCCCCATACTGACTCCACCATTAGGTTTTGGAGTTCTCTACTGAGTGCTCCTCATCATTTGCTCCACCATACGAGCAAAGATAGGGAAGAAGGAACATTGCTCGGAGGTAGTTGCTGTACATCACTTTCAGCCATATTCCTTTGGCCTTGTATAATGACAAAGGAGGCTAGAAAATGCAGTGAAGTTTTGTGTCTGGAAAACAAAGAAAATGTGTTGTTAGCAATTTCTACAGATTTAAAGTGTCGTATGGGTCAAAACTTTGGATAAGAATTTGCCCAATAAAAGAGAGGCCTTTTTCATTCTCAAGGAAGGGGTCAGCATATTCTAGTTTCAAAAAAGCAATGTACAGCCTTTTCTTGACAGCTTAGTTTTTCAGCACTGACGTTTTCAAAACATGTAGAGGGTGGAAAATCCACAAAGAAGAAAAACAGCAGTCTCTCTCTCACACACACACACACACACAGACTTTACCAGAAGTGTGAACTTGAGAAAAGTCTACAGTTACCTTCATATTCTTAACTTTCACTGGCAGTTGAAGATCTTTGCATGTGAGGTCAAGTTTTTCTAGCACCATATTTTGTATATTTTAATGTCAAATGAAGTATTGTTCTGTTGGTAAAGTTACTATGTTTGATTTAAAAAGCAAGAAGTTAAGGATATTACAGGGGATGGAGTGGATACATATAGGGATTAAGCTTTAAAAAAGACTATCTGAAGTGATAATTTTACAAAGTATTAAAGAAAATTCATATTTATGAATGTTAGTGTGCTTTGGATTGGGATGTCAAACCTTCGGGGCAGGTGCAGAGTGTGAGAATTACTGTGAGCAAAAGGAATAAGGAAAAAAGTTATTAAAAAGTTGCTGTACCTTCTGTTTCTATTTCCCCTTCTCTTTCCTTCCTTTCACCGAGGTGCAGGTCAGGAAGCCAGTCTCGGATACAGGCTGCAGCAGGGAGAAGCAGAGACCCTGGCTTGATGGCATCTCTTCAACGGCCATCGTGGTTGGAAGGTCGACTACATTTAATAAAAAGTAAATTGATTGAGTAAATAATTAAATACATTGAGGATAATGGGAGCTAAATTTTATGCTGCTAGAGAAGATTTTACAAACAGGAAGAGCAGAAAAAAAAGAAAGAAGCCTGAGGTGTTGACTTGGAAACACCTGAGGGAGAGGAGAAAAAAAGAAAGAAGCCCGAGGTATTGGATTGGCAACACCTGAGGAAGAGGAGCAAGAAAAGAAAGAAGCCCAAGGTATTGGATTGCCAACACCCGAAGAAGAGGAGCAAGAAAAGAAAGAAGCCCAAGGTTTTGGATTGGCAACATCTGAGGAAGAGGAGAAAGAAAAGAAAGAAGCCCGAGGTATTGGATTGCCAACACCTGAGGAAGAGGAGCAAGAAAAGAAAGAAGCCTGAGGTGTTGGAGAAATGAACATATATATATATACACACATACATACATCTATACATATATGGTTTTGTGACAAATATATACACAGAAAGATATAGAGATCACTGAAGAGGTATGTGTGTGGGAGATATATATATATGTGTGTGTGTGTGTGTGTATTTATATGTACATATATACACATCTATTTCCTAGTTCTGTCCAATGACAACACCTAGAAGCAATGGCATCCCAGTAACAATGAGCACACTAAACACTAGATCTTAGCTTCTAAGTGCCATGCTTCACTTAAAAAACAAAAACAAAACCAGGGATCCTTTAAGAAATTGTAATTTCCTAGAGAGGAAAAATTATATGGGCACCATGTGGTAACTGGTAGGACTGCACCTGAGTACACATGAAACATTCTCAGTAATAAATGGTCAGGAGACACCACAATAGTGAGCAGAGTTGGGGTCATGTGGTGGTTCTTGTGGCCTCTGTCATTCCCATGTATCCCTGGGAGTGGTCTGTGATACATGAGAGAGCTATAGATACAGTGGTAAACTTCAGAATATCTTCCCAGAGATGGGAGGCTGAAAGGAGTTAGAAAGGTGGATGAAAATGATTTGGACTCATTCTTTCTTGTTACACCATTCCCTGGACACACATAAAAACTCTTTCCATAGTGACAATATTCTCACTTTCCATAGACTAAGTAGCAAACATATGAGCAGACTCCTGGTATTCTCTGCAAAGTGGAGTAAACTTAACTCCAAGTTCCTTTTGAGGCCATTTTAGGTGTTTCTATGGAAGGCCGCCAGATGCTGGCTAACTAAAACTAGACACCAACCCTCATCCTTTCAAATTATCTGCAGCACCCTGAAGACCATATCTGAAGCTCTGCCTGCACGCCAATATGCCTCCAAGAAAAGAGGAGAGAACTAAGAAGTGACACACAATGGCAAAAGATCATTTTTACCACCCAAGCTCCAGGGGGAATAGAAGTTTTGACATGTTCCTGTCTTATTCACTGTCTGTATAATTTCACTTTTATAATGAAATCTTTTTAAGCCAGAGGAGGGAAAAATAAAGTCTCCCCAAATAGTCCAAAGTAGAATAGCTCTTGGCTATTTCCAAATCTAAAAGAACCAGCCAAAACAATTTCAATCAAATCTTTTTTAAAAGCAACAACAATAACAAGTTTCCCCTGAGTGTGAGGTTGGGAAGGTCAAGGTCTAGCCTGATGTAAACAAAAATGTCTCAGTAGAACAGCGTTAGAGGTTAAATAAATGTTTCTAACAACAGGGATTTAAAACAGAACCATTAAAAATAGATTTTACTGCCTGTGTAAAAAGAAAAGGTAACAACCGCCTTTCATCTTTTTTCTGAGTTCTGAGTGAGAAATACAGTTTCATGAACATCTCTTGGAAACAGAAGAATAGATTAATGGCTAGGAGTGTGAATAAAAATATCTGGACAACAAGTAAAGAAAATATTCCATCTAAACTGTATTATATTTTAGTCATTTTGGTAGGATTATATGGTCTTTAAAGTTTTATTTTCAAAGTGTATCTTTTTCCAAGATACACTGATGAAGAAAACAGTATAAACAAAAATAGAAATCATTCCTAATCCCAATGTCCATTAAAGGTTAGTTGATATTAATATTTTGGAGTATTTCTTATCTTTGTTTTCTATGAATATTTATAAATATAATTTATTCCAGTTAGCATCACATTGTGTATACAACTCTGTAACATCTTTTTCACTAAGCAAGTCAAAATAAACATTACCCTATATTATTAAGTATTGTTTAAAGCATGTTTTCTTAATTGCTACAGATAGTCTTCTTAGGTAGGTACCTTTGGAACTTCTTTCACAACTCTTTTCTATTTATCTGAACACATATTATTTTCAAACTTTTGCTCTTATAATCAAGTCTGCAATTTATAATTTCTAGATGCATCTTTGCATGGATCCCAGTTTCAATTATTATACTGTGTAAATTAGTTTCTTAAGATCATTTTTAAAAGTCAGATTACTAAACCAGGTAGTAAAAACATACTCAGGGATTTAGAAACCTATTTCCAAAATGGTACAACATCCAAAGAGGTGGTACCAGTGTCATTCCCACCAGCAGGGCAAGTGCCCCTATGTCTCTCTGTCCTCACAGACACATATATACACACACACACACATAGATACATATCTATACATGTATACATATACATATCTATGTATATGTATACATGTATAGATATGTATATATATCAGATACATAGATATATACACACATATATGAGAGAATATATACATTTCTGCATATCTCTATTTTGATAAGTGAAATATGTTTATTTCTCTAATTTCTAGTAGCGTTAAACATTTTTCATATACCTCATGTCTATAAAATTTCTTTTCTGGTTCATTCCCTCTTCATGCTTTTTGCTTTCTCACAGCACATTTGTATTTTTCTCATTTAATTTGTTAGAACTCATCTATTCAAAGTGGCAAATATTTTGGCCAGTTTTTCACTTGCCTAATTATTTTAAGAGTATTTTGTTGTTACTGCTCTTATACAGAAAACTTAAGTTTTTATGTATTCAAATCTATTATGTTTTCATGAATTTGCCTGCATGTTTATAAAGGCCTATTCTATTCCCAATTGGATCTATGTTCGGTTTTGTTCAGTTGGATCTTTTTTTTTTTTTTTTTTGAGACGGAGTCTCACTCTGTCACCCAGGCTGGAGTGCAGTGGCTTGATCTCAGCTCACTGCAACCTCCGCCTCCTGGGTTCAAGCAATTCTCCTGCCTCAGCCTCCCGAGTACTAGGACTACAGGCGCCCGCCACCATGCCTGGCTAATTTTTGTATTTTTTAGTAAAGACGGGGTTTCACCACATTGACCAGGCTGGTCTCGAACTCCTGACCTTGTGATTTGCCCTCCTCGGCCTCCCACAGTGCTGGGACTACAGGTGTGTGAGCCACCTCACCCAGCCCAGTTGCATCTTTTGAATTTAAATTACATTATAGCCTAAGGAATTACAATACAGACTGGCTTAGGTATTTCTACGCGATAATACAGTACACTCCGTGGAGACAAGGTCAGGGGAAATAACCAACATATCCCAGCCTTCTGTAAACAGAGGGGATTTCTGATACTGTATTATAGAAAATAGAAAGAAGTAAAAGACCTACAAACAATGGAGAAAACTGTCTCTTTCAGGCAAAACTAAGAGTGGTCTCTGTGACTCTTTCCAGGGCCAGGGCCAACCTATAAGATCTGAGAAAAATACATTATTTTCAGGTAGGAAACCACTGCAATAAGCACTGGAAGAAAACACATCTGTACATGTGTGCAAAGGTAAATAAAAAACAATTGAAGATATGCAAAAAGTTGGTAAAGCAACTATATCGAAAGGCTGAGATTTGAGTAATTGCTTTGGAAAAAAAAAAGAGGATTTGCCTTCTGCAGAAATCTGGAGAGAAGAACATGGCATTTGGGTAGGTATGAAGTCACAGAACATAATCAACAGATGACAAAGAAGGACAAAAACACTAGGGAAAGATGTGTTTTAAATAGCATCAAGGAAGAGATAGAGATGATTTTCCACTACATTTGATTTTTTCAACCTAGTGGGTTGTAGTTGTGCTGCCATTTTAGCGTGGTTCGTTAAAATTTTGCTTACACTGAAACTTTATACCGTCACATGGATCCCCCCATCCTCAATATTTTTTTCTGTTGTTTTACAGTACTTTTAATTCAAAGAACTTACTCAAAGATTATTCATGGCAATATTTCATCCCACGTGGTCTTGTGTGACAAATGTCATCTAAATTTAGGTGCCAAGAGTGGAAGCACTAGGAAAGGAGATTCCCCTTCAGAAAAGTATAGAGGCAAAGCTGATCACCATCTGAGAATGCCATGATGGCATCAGGGAGTCAACTGCGGGATAGGTAGTAATAAGAAAGAATTATTTGTGATATAAAGAAAATATTATCAGAAGAAAGTATAAGGTTGCAAAACATATGTAGTTATTGAATGTTCAGGCATTGGTATCAGATCTGGCTTCAAATAGAGCCCTTCTACTTTCTAATTAGAAGACTTTGTGCAAGGTATTTAATTTCTCTGATCATCAGTTTCTTAATCTGTAAAATCGTGTTAATGTTCTAAACATCATGGAGCTGATGTGGGGATTAAATGAGATAATGTGTATTAGGCACTTAACAATCTTTCAGCCATATAGCCGCAGTTACTAGTGCAATAAGTGGGGACTATTCCTGTTATTACAAATAGCAAATGAAAATAAGCGTTTCTGGAATGGTCCCTACATAAAAATTCAAATGAAATGATTATAGCCTAATATCTGCCTATGAATTATAATTGACAAGCAACTTATCAATCAGTATTGTTAGTGAATTTTTCTTAAAAATGCATGTAAAACTAAAAGCTGTCATGTAACATGACCTTGCCAAATTAGGAAGAAAATGAAAATATAATCAATATTGCCAGTCATTAGTAATTTCATTCGAAGTTTGGCTGTTTGTGAGGCTGGTAATAACCTTCTATTATTATACAGCAAAATTAGACATGGATTCACTACATTATCAAGCCCATATTGGGTCTTTGGA